CGATTATGTTTGATTACTGAACCAATCAAACAACAATCCCAATGGCTGGGTTGGATTGATTTCTGGTTTGGTTTTCTTCAATTTATTTGAAATCATTAAAAATCATTGACTTTACAGACCAAACGGACCCTGTACTGTATGACAAGGTAAGTTGAAAAAGTAGACAGCTGGTATTTAACGTGTCATTTTGCACACTAGCTAGAGTGCCATTTTGCTCATTAGCGAGTAATTTTGCTCACTAGTGTGTTATTTAGCTCAGCCAATACTGCATTGTTTCATAGGACACAATGCTTTGGGTGTTTTGAGTGCTATGGAAACAAAAGGAGATTTGTAATTAAGCATGCCGTGCATTTACCTCATCCCCTGAAATCCCGTGGAGGGTCACATTTACTGGTCAGAGATTTATCAAGCGGCTCAGTGTTATGCACCTTTTGAACAACTGCAGTGTTTGTTTGTTTGTTTCCTATTTTGAAAGAATGTTGCCTAGGCAGCTGAGTGATTGCTTTCCAAAATTTGTCTTCTGTGAGTTTATCAACAACGACTTGGCTCTATATTTCCCTATTATTAATTGCGATTCATCTACGGAAAAAGAGACAACTGATGACAAGGGAATCCCAGGCGTTTCTAAACAAGGTAAGCAAAGAAAGTATGATGCTGAGATGTAGGACAGCATTCGAGGTGCAGAAGTAGACAAAATTCTAGTAGGCAAAGACCGTTTAGTAAAAGTGTGAATTAGCATTGTCCGTGCTTAAACCTCAAAGGAAATTACCTTTGCACTGCTCGCGGATGGTCGGAAATGGAAGAAAAGTAACGTCAAGAATTTGAAAAAAGGACAGATGCTGTATTCAGACTGCAAGAACTTTTTCTAGTGCATCGATACACAGTATCCTTTTTGTGTCCAATTCGATGGGACAAACAGGAAAAAAATTACAAGTGGGTCAAACAATGAACAAGCCTGTTCAATATGTGGAGATGAGGGTGAATTTGTAGTTGGTTCTGAAGGCACTATGTAAAGTATGGCAAAAGAGGCGTACAGGTCTTTCACTGTGGGAACCACACGTGTCCTGTAACATCAAGGCCAAAGAAACCAACTGAATATGTGAAAGAAACCATAAAGAAACATCCCCGCTTAAAGCAAGCAGAAATACAATCTGCTTGCGACGGTCATGGGATACTGGTCAGTGGATATCCTGTTTTGACAGCTGTCAATTGACCATATTGTTAATGTTCAATGTAAAATATGTGGACTTGCCAAGACTCGCCTGAGGCACCCCTCCCTTCCTTTTGATAGTCTCCCCTACCCCACCCATACAATCCGTAGACGCGTACATACGTACGCTCGGTCAGTCACATGACAATCAAACGAAAAGAGGTTGACCATATTCTATGAGTCTAGGGCTCTGTCTCATGCGTGCTTTGCGTGTGTGGGGGCCCGGCTAGTATGTTAGGCCTTATTAGAAGAACATGTTACGACATCAATGATCTCACTACTCTTAGGACTCTGTATTGCAGTCTTGTGTGACCCAAGGTCGAATATGCCTCACTGGTGTTGAATCCCTGTACTAAGAGTAATATTAGTCGTATAGAGTCAATTCAAAGACGGGCTACCAAATTTACTCTGACAATTGATGAAAAGTATTAGGTTAGGCTAGGTGAAGTTCGCTTGTTATCTTTAGAGGATAGATTGGATAGGTTTATTGCTGATGTTGTTTTCTTTTACAAGGTGATTAATCATCATATTCGCCTAACCCTTGGCTTTAGGGTTCGTTTCTCTAGGGATGTTGATAGGGAATGTGAATTGAGAAGTATGGATACTTCGAACGTCTTAACCTGTTATTCTAGTACTAATTTATTTAAATTTAGTTTCTTGAACAGAGTAGTTGGGGAATGGAATTGTTTCCCTCATGATATTAGAATAGCGACTTCTGTGGCAGATTTTAAGTAGAAGGTTTTTAGATTTCTAGCTCATTTTTTAATTTCTGTATGTATAATTTTGAATTTTTTGTATGGATGTTTAGTGTAAAGATAGTTTAGGGTTTCTTCCTAGAATAGTGCTTCAGCACTTTTTGAGGTTCTTTCTCTTTCAACACTGTTCCTTGTACTAATTTGAAGTTTATGTTGTCGAAATAAGGTTTGAACACGTAAATGGTAAGAACAATGACGAGCATGACAGAAATCTATGCAGATTGATACAGAGATTTGCAAAGAATAACGTCACCCTCAACCTTGAAAATGCCAATTCAGAATGGAAACGGTAGTCTCTATGGGGCTTTTAGTGTCAAAGTTTGGTGTTGTCCAACAGAGGAGAAGGTATGCGCAGTGCTGGAGGCAAACAGTCCATCTACTCCAACAGAGGTGGAAAGGTTCCTCGGTACGGTTGGCGTTAGTGCATGATTTATTTCCAATCTTGGAACCATTGCCGAGCCTCTACAATGATTTCCAGGAATGGAGTATACTTTGTTTGGGCCAGTGAGCAGGATAAATATTTTAAGGAACTGAA